TATATATATCTATATGTATATCTATATATAGATACATATGTATTTATATACAGTACTCTAGTTGTAAATAAATATATACATACCGGTATGTTTGTTTAAAACTAGTCTAGTTGTAAAAAAAAATATTTATTAATATATATATACATATATAATATATTAATATATATATGTATGCATTTAAATGTATTATTTAAAAAAAGATATTTTACATACATACATAGCCTAATGAATATATTCTATTAACCTAAAGCAATATGCATGGTACGGTTGTTCCATGTCAGGTACGCCGGTCATTGACCTTGACCAAGGTACCTTGCAGTAGAACTGCAGTCAGTCCTGGACTGGCATGGCTATCACTGCCCCTATATAGTTGGGGAGTCATTTCCCACTGGGATCAGCTTCATAGTCATTGTAAGACACTTCTTTGAGTTTATTTATTTTGTTCCGGCTACTCGTAAGCCCACAGCCAAATGTTGAAATGGCATTATTATTGCCATTACTGTTATTATATAGTAGAAATTTTACACATTCAGTAATGTCACAGGGAATGGTATGGTAGGATGGTCATTTAAGAAGTGGGATGCCACCCCCCCTCAACTCGAGTACTGTATATATATTTATGTATATAGGGATTAAAAATGAATATAAGGAAATAATTTAAAGCTGTTCTTTTTTCCTTTGGAAAAATATGTCCTCTACTTATATTGTGCAACATATATGCATGTATATGTGTATACATACATATAAACATTTTATACACAGCCATATGTAAGCATCTATTTAGTTTAATAAAATAATAAATTATAATACATTTTGTGCACTGAAAGCCCTATAAAGAAAAGGCGATGACGTATTTGGACAAAGATATGGCTGAGCAAACGTGCCTACTACAGTCTGTCAATTTTACAGAAAGAACTGCATTTCACTCACATCCAAGTCGGTCTGATCGACAAATTCTCACACGACAGAAGAATTGTCCCGAAAAGGACGAAAAAAATCGTACAGTGTAAGCCTGACTTTAGTAGAGCCTATTTATAGATTACGAGTACTTAAGGGTCAAACATCAGTAGCTCACTCAGACAAAGCGTCCCGTACTACACTCCTCAAATGACAGATGAATGTTTTACAAGTATTGTATGTCATTTGCAAAATAGTAAAATCTGAAGATCATTTTGCGATTCCTGTGGGAAGCTCAATGCAAGTAGATGAGCTGTAAAGGCTGGTTCAGCAAAAAGAGTTTGCTCTCACCAATAAGTTTAAATATGATTATTTAGAAATGGGTTTGTGCATGCAGTCGCACCTGTTTAATAAGCCTTTCCTCTCGGGAGAGGATACAGAGTTGTGCATGTGCATTTTTTTTTTTAAAGGGGGGAGGAATTTGAGAAAATCCTCCACTATAGCGTTTAAGTGTACAACTTATAAGTACTACATTTTTTAAGTAAGAAAAAAAAGTGTTTTAGGGCCAATACATTTTTCTCTAATATCAGGAAACGTAATATGATTTAAAGTGTTTTTCAGACTAGCCAAGTGGCAGAACCACTGCTTTTTTAGAGGTGGTACCATTAATGAGATCTATTTAGTTAGGACACGCCTACCTTTTAATTTATTAAATCCTATGGAAGCTGCAACACTGTACTTTCAGTGCTTTTCACTTTTTATTCATACTTCTCGTCCTAAACCAATTTTTTTCCAGATATGTGAGGTTGGAAGGTTGCGTTTTGCTCCTAAAATGCTGTATACAAAGAATTAGCTTTGCCCCGAAACTGTTTACTATTCCATTCAACATGACTAAAACTTAGCTTCTTATGGTGTTTATCATTGTTTGGTTTTTCCCATTAACAGTACTTGCTAATCATTTGGTCACACAGTTGAAACCTGTGAAAATATTAAAAATAAACAATATATTTTTCATTAAAAGCCTTCTTTGTCCAATGCAGGGGTCCATTACCTAAAACTAGAAGTTCCCACAGTAGTATTTGTTCTTGCCATTTTCCTGCTATATAATATTTCAGTGGTAAACATAATTAATGTAAAGAGTACTGTTGTTTTAAGAAGTCATTTTCTTCACCACGAGGTCCCAAAATAAAAGAGGTATAAGTTTTAAAAACAGCATTAGAATAATTTTTTTTATTATTTAAAAATGTATGATTGTTGTATGCATTGAACAAAACATGCTTTTTGTTTCGGACAGTTTTATTGCATTTGTTTAAAGTTAAACCACAGTAAAAATAATTCTACTGAGGTGCTGCTAAAGCAGAAACAATTTCTGTAATATTTTAACATTGTCATTTTCTTCCGTGTAAAATGGTGCAAACCACCAGAATCTGTCTTTAAGCTTTTGAGCAACATATTCTGCCATCATTATGTTGTTTTTTTGTAGGCACAATGAAGTGTCACTGCATAACATTGAGCAAGTGTTACAGGAGTGACTCTGCAGTACGTGTTAAGCTTTCAAAGAAGCCGACCAGCAGTTCTAAAGTCATTTCTGGGGAGAAAAAAGAGAAGTGCTCTGCAGCCATATTGCAAAAGAACTTAAAAACATTGCACAACTTGGCCGTATGGATAATATTTAAAGAACCTTATGGCCCGATGGCCCTGCAAATATAAGCAGGATCATAGAGGAGGGAATGGAAGAATTAAACTGGATAAATGGCTGTTTTACTGCAAAATTTGTTCTGTTTATTTGGATTTTCATTCATTCTTAAGGTTTTAACAGAAATAAAAGGGATGACTAGTTTTTAGAAACAAGATTTAACCCTTTAAGCCCAAGTGCATCGCATTTTACAAACAGATGTTTGAGACTTCTACATTATAAGTGTGATATCTTTGTTGTTGAAAAACCGGATTTATGCCATCAGATACATGTAGTGCACAGAAAATCTGTAATTAATTCTGCAGAAATACGAAATGCATCATAAATGTTACAAAAATCGTATGATTTGACGTTAAAAAAAAATTGGTCTATCTAATTTGAAAGATATATTTTGACAATTATTTCATGGTTTTGCCTTAACAGAGTTATTTCCACCCGGAAATGAATGAATTTACCATAATCCATATAGCATATGCTCCCGGCCTCTTTCTGCTCATGAATGAACAAACAATCTTAAAGTAGATGCTTTTGGTTTTGATATTCATGAACTGATCATAAAATAAGTTCTTAGTTGTGATTCATTCAGTAACAGAAAGGAACATCAAATTAAAACTGAGCGTCTATTTTTAGCCAAATCATGAATCTCTCCTTATAATGAGCTCTCATTTAAACTTTATATGCAGTTGTTCTTATTCCACTCTTGGGGGTACTAACTGAGCCCCACACACTTTGCTTTTTACTGCAAGGGACTCAAAGAAAGCTAACAAGTGTTTCCCTTGGGATGCCCCCACTTATGTTCACTCATTATTTACATGCACGTCTTCTAAAACCGCCTCTCAGCAGCACCATTCCCTCTGGCTTTCATAATAAAATACATATCATAACAGGGTAGTAAAAGGAAATTGCACAGGACAAAAGTTATGCAAATAAAAAAAGAACATTTGTATTAAACATCTCACACCTCAAGGCTGCACGATTATTATACACTTTTTTACTAATGTAGTCAAAGAAAATGAGGCACAGGTGACAGATGCTGCAGACCGGTCTCATCTCTCTGTTCCAGCACTTTTAATCCGCTCAGATTTCACAGAAAACACCGCTCAGATAAAAAAAAAAAAAACATGCCTAAAGAGCTCCATCTATTTTGAAATTATATTTGATGTTAAAGTCACATTGCTTTTTTACAATCAAAACTGTTTCTTTAACTCTAATTGTAAAAAGGCTTTTATGTAATTAACTTATTTTTTATTTTAAACCTACACCAAAGGGCATGCAGCAGCCACATGCTTTTAAGTTCAGTGTTTACTTCCTGTGGGGTGTTCACTGACCTGGCTCTGCAGGCTGCTATCCTCTGACTGCAGTTACCATACGGGTGGCTGTAGTGTGGGAGCTGGTAGTATGTGTCCTGGCCTCGGGCCTCGTCTGCAGGCAGAGCCTTAGGGCTGGCTGCGTAGATAGTGCATCCCATGAACACCTCTTGGAAGTCGCCCTGTGTCCGAGGAGCAGCGGCGGGTACCAGTGTCCTCCAGGTATCCTTCCTGTGAGCGGCCTGTCCTGTCCTGATGCCAGCCAGCTGCTCTATGGAAAAGCCATTGGCTCAGCACATTGGTATCTAAGCCCCCCCCCTCCCCTCTGGATCTCTCCTCCACCCGCCCCTCCTCCCTCCCGCCAAGCCGAGAGCATAATCAGATTTCACATTTACACTCAACAAAATCATCCCCGGCGTGATCACTTTCCATCACTAATAATGCATTTTACTAATGTACAGAGCCAAGTTACTTCAGGGGCATTAGG